CAGTGTGAAAGCCAATACAGTATGTATGTATTGAACACCGTACTTTAAAATCAAAGCCATATAACTGTGTAGTTTATATTCTAATTAACAATATTAAAAAAGCAAATCACAAATATAATGGACAATCTTCACTATAGAACAAATCTTCCTAATAGAACAACACCGTTACATTTCAAATTTGACGAAAAAATGACCACGTAACCAGAGTGCAATAAATTTGATACGAAATGTTGAACTGTTTAGATTCCATGCTTCTAATAAATAATGATAACTGCTCGTATCAGTGGCCTATAGTGGAGCAAATGATGGCTTGTATTATAAAGCATCGGCTCCCAACTGGGGGCCACAATGCTTTCACTTTACAAGAATCCTTCCCGTTCCTCCTAGTTTCATTGCTGATAAGGTCATTTCACAGGGTGTTTTCACTTTGTTGAGCATGAATTGTTTGAACATAATGGGATTTGGAATCCTCCTCACAAAAAAACACTATAAATGCCGCTGGAATGATAAACAGGGAAGGGGACATGAGGGCTAAAAACCTACGGAAGGATTAATTGACGATCACTTTTTTTGCTTCAATACGTTACCCTATAGTTCTTTTAAAATTGCTTCCCGTGAAGTACTGTGGTAATTACGTATTCAGTCTTATGTTATTCGTAATGTCACTTCAAATTATACCCATTCCTAACATCTATTACTTGAAAGCACACCAGATACTGTGGTTTACTATTGCAGTGGGCAATAAAATATGTTTTGGCCGAGTTAGCATTAAAATCACTTTTTTTTTCTGACATCTTTATTTTGAAACTTATTTTATGATGAATTGTTATATTGGGATAATTTTTTAACTTTCAAAGTAAGTAGGCTTAGTGTTATCGTCAAAGAATAACCAAGTCCGTCTAAGCTTGGATTTCGAGACCTAGATGAATGAAGAGCATTGCGTCACCTTTCAAACAAGGGTAATCCCGTAGTATGTGTACCCGGTTAAGGTTAGGCCATAATTTTATTCCGATTTTCCTTATTTTAGTTCTATTACAAGTTCGGGGACTGTTTGGTTTGGTGATGTGAATATAATCTCGTTACACAACTTGATGTAAAGTAGGTGATCAAAATTAGTTACCTCCATATTGGTATACATACCTCTGGAGTGCCCAAACAAGACCACATTTATGCTGCAAAATGACTGTGTACCCCTATATAGGTTAGGGAAATAGAAAAGTTTCGAAAAAATATCGGAATTGGGAAAATGGTTTGAATCTTGGGATCCCAAGTTGGAAAAGATAAAAAAACCTGAAAAATGATCTGCCAACAATACCCCATGAGGCCTGCGGTCCGCAGTTTGTACCTACCTGATCTAGCTAGTCATGAATTGCATTGCATTCTTTAAAAAAAATATATTTTTGTAATAATCATAATAGGACAAAAGCAAGAGAAGAAAACCATTCAAAATGTGTACCTATGCGGATGTAAAACCTGTCGAAAATGATGAGTTACAAAAGGTTATGTCATGTAAAAATTACACAATATAGACATGACAAAAACCCCTCGGTAATAAATCAGTGTTCCCTGCTCCTTAAAACCTAAACTAGGAAAGCATGGAAAGAATGGGGCATATTAGATGTAGGCCTATAAAGAATAACAAAAATAATGAAGAGTTTACTGTAATATTTTATGCTGTATATTTGGCTCACAACTTTTAAAAGTTTCCAAATATTTCATTGGCTTTGATAAAAAGGAAACATTAATACTGACGGAGCGCCGGTATATCACGCGTGCGTGACCATTCCCATTAACAAAAAAAAACATTCGAGAAATTTCAGAGCATCAGAGAACCGCGCTAAAGCTAACATAGTAGACTGTTAGTTATTTACTAACCAGATTAACAAAAGAATTATTTGCAATAGAAGAATGAATCAGCTGACTGAAGGAATGGCTGTTTTAAGTTAAATAAATGGCTGAGTTTTTGTTTGAGGTCGATAGGGGTGAAACAAACTGAGAATTCACCCCAGGCGTATAAATAGATTGAAAAGTAGTGATTTCCATTGAGATGGGTTTGCTTTCCAAAGAATTATAATGCGGTGTACTAAAAACATGTTAGTAGTCCGTTATTTTTTAACTAAATACAAAACTATAACCTCACAAATAAACAATTATAGCTGACTGGAAAGGAGTGCTATTTGGTTTCTGGCAAAGTAAATAGGGTGAAGTAATGAGATGATCTGATTCAGCCTTGACAGTGAATATGATAAAACAAAGAAACTGAAGAAGGATGTAATTGAATGTTTAATCCAGGGGCATGGCATAATGGACCCCCCTTTTAAAAAATGGTGAAAAAATTGGTTCTGTATAATGCATAATATGCAATTTTCATAACTAGAATCGTCTTTCAGACACTAAAGACTTTTGACAACCCCCGTTTTCTGTCTACTTCCTACATATTATTCTGGTACGTTATATAGCTAACGTTTTTACCTTAATGAACATCCAATGACCCCACTAAAATAATAAAAAATGATTATTCATTATTGAATTTTCAGTTATTTCAGAATACTGTACTACAATACAGTGGCGCCAACCAGCGGGGGGTTACGGGGGTCGTGTCCCCCGTTTGAAATTCTTTTTTTTTATTATTGTTCTACGTTCAAACAACGTCGTTCTACGGTCATAACAATCCGGTGAAAACTAATTTTTCCAGTGCTTTATCACCTCGACGTAATTTAACCACCGCCCGACTTCAATCATACCTTTTTGCTGTTAGTTACGTAATAATCGCTATCCCCTGCGTATATGTTTGTATTCGAAAATGGGTTATGTTACCTCAAAAAAAGTAGAAATCGCGCGCTGTCGATGCGAATTGAAAGCGACAATAGCATAATGCTATCTCTCTCTCTCTTGTGAAGAATACTCTCGTGCTTCATCATCTTGACGCAATGTAACGCCGCCCGTCTTCATGTTATAATAATGCAGTAGAAGCTCTGAAAAATCTGGATACGAAAATATTTTCGGAAAAATATTGCTTCGATTAACCTAAGATTTCTACATATGGAAGGCCAAAAACCGAAAAACGCCGTACACATCCTACCGCCCCTGTCCACGTTCTGATTTAAGAACATTTCACAATTATTTCATTTTTTATCGCAACGAAAGCAGCCATGTGTGGCACGGCAATACCTAACAGTCGTCGTGAAAGGTTTTCAATAAACTCCGACTTGAAGTGCTTATAAAGACGTCGAGGACGTTTTTGGTTACAAATTTATTACATTTTTTATCGTATATTTCAATTAAGTCAAGATACGTTGGTGCGCCTCGTCAATAAACTTATTAAAAGCAAATCCTGCCCTAATTGTTTTCATCCTCAGTTTCGATAGCTATCGAACTTAACGGGAAATTTTTAATTTCTTGCAATCTATAAAATAGCTTCTAAATAATATTTGGTTTCTATCGGAGATTTTATCGTTATCCCGACGTCGTTGATAACAATATCGTTCATTTTAAGTTGGAGGTATTGGTTTATAATCAAAAAATTATAACACATAACACGAAAAATTTAAATCAACGCCGACTCAAAAAAGTAAAACACGTTTTTCTATTTTTATTCTCCATTATTGGCGGACGGAAATTTGGGAATCGGGTTTAACTAATTGATTATGATGACGATGGTAAACAAAGTACACAAACATACCATAACCGTTTCTAGTCGTTATTTCTCTGTCCCTTCTTCTTTCTATGTGCATATTGAGACCATAAACTTGTTTTATTTTTGAACTCTGCGCTGATTTGAATATTTCATGTCGGCTGTTATGTATTTTGTTTGTAAATGAATACCGCTAAATTAAACTGAACGATGTTGTCATCAACGCCGGATGCCGACGAAATCCGCGATAGATATTAAATACTATTTAAGAGGCTATTTTATACGCGCTAATTTACAAGAAATGAAAAAGTTTCCTGTTATGTTCGGTCACTATCGAAACTGAGGATGAAAACAACTAATTAAGACACAATTTGCCGAGGACGCCTAAACCATCTCGACTAAGTTAAATACACGATAAGAAAATATTTTCAATCAAAAACGTCCTCAAAGTCTTATAAGTTCTTCAAGTCAGCATTTATCAAAATTCTTTCATGTCAGCTGTAATATATTGCTGAACCACACATAGACGACGACGCTAGGATATGTGCGCCCTATTCGGATTATTATAAACACGAAAAAACAGTATTTGAAGTTTGCGATATTTAAATTTAAATTCGATTTGGACATCCCTGCATTAAATTAGTCAGTTTTTAGTTGTGTTTCCAAAAATTAGTTGTAAATTAAGTATTTTAATTGTCATTATGTCTTCCGGTGAGCTTCAGTTTAGTTTGGAATTTTTTTGGGGGTTAGGGTCGGGAAAAGGTCCATTCGCAAGAAGTGCATTTTGTTTTGGTCTTGACAAATACACCCAACGAGCAAGGCACGGAACGAGGGAAACACTGGAATTTATTCAAGCCGTGTTTCACTATCCACGAGGCACAAAGCGAGGGAAACGTTGAAAATAATTAACAATTAACTTTTCGTTAGCAATTCGCTGGAATGTAATGAACGGCGTTTTGCTACCCACGAGGTGCATTAATGAACGAGGCCAAGGTAAGCGAAAGACTGGAATTTAATCGATGGCGTTTCCCTTTTAACCACGAGCAATTTATCGTGTTTTAGCTGGGCGACACCTAGTGGCGTTGCGACTTACGTCGTGGTTGCACTGTGTAAATTCCGGTCGGCCCCCCGTTGAAAATGGCCTGGTTGCACCACTGCTACAATATAAACTAGACATGCAGCTGCCTGTATTATTTCTTGTGTCAGTGTTCTCACTTTTGTCACCCAATTCATCTGCTAAACAGATTAGAAGGCATATCTATGGACCTTCAAAAGATGGAGAATATTGTCAGAAAGACTACTTCGAAACTGCTAAGGGTTGGTTGGAGGAAAGGTACTGCAAGAAATGCAGAAGAGGATATGAAAATAATGATACAGAACATTCTAATACATGTACCAAGTGAGTCAAACATTTGAAATTTGGAAGAATAATTAGATTGCTGTACCCACCACCTGATGAAAGGTGGTTGTTCATGCACAGGATTTTCTGTAATTTACCAAATCACCAAAGCATTCTTTATTTTAATTAATTCTATTTGTCTTATTTTCCATTAGTTAAACGACAATGCACTCTCTCTCTTTGACATGTACACAGTACATGCAACGAAGCGCTTTATGGGTATTACACCATTAGAGTTTTTCAAACTTATCAACACACATAAAGGCCACAGACTGTTTTTTATACGACTCTCAAACACATATTCTAATCCAAACGAGGCCCTATATAAGCGGACACTCATGATATGTACATAATTATTTTTATTATTATTTGCAAGGGAATTTATTCTCTTAGTATGTGAACTAATATGACGGGCACCGGAACATAGTATGTGAACCATGTTAGGCCATAATTTTATGTACAGATACTAAAGGAGTACTACTACTTGTCTAGTCCCTGAACTCGTAATAAAAATGAGGAAAGTTGGAATAAAATTATGGCCTAACACTAATAAAGTACACATACTACATTACAGTGCCCGCCCTCTTGGTTAACATACTTCGGGATTATATTTGAAAGAACCTGATTCATCTCAAATACGTGTTGCTTACCCAATTTAATATATCCTAGGCGAAGTGTGGGATTTGTAGGCCACATAAGTAGCTTGACTAAACAATTCACTAGTTATATTATAAAAGGTGACCGTACATTTGAACCCACGTGTATATCCGCGGGTTCAATCTATATGCGGGTGCTAAAACCCATGGGTTAGGGTTAGTATGGGTTCAAACATCCGTAAAACAAAAAAATTTCCATAAGTGCAATAGTATGCAGGTGCAATTGTCGTGGGTTCAAATGTACGTGGGTTCAAATGTAATGGAACCATTATATAGGGTGTACATACCAACAGTGAAAAGTCCATCAATGCTCTTCTTGAATTTAAACATCTCTAGTGGGATTCGAACCCAATCCTCACGATGAATATGCTTCTATCAACTTTGACGTTCTCTCACACTAAATATGTAATATTATTTTTAGAATCAAAACAAAACCGACCACACAATCGCCAAAAGGAAAGAACATTACTGGAAAACAAAAACCTATTAAAGAGCAAAACTGTATTGTTTCTAATTTGATGTCAACACCAACAACAAATGTGTACGAGCAAACGAAGAAAGTTCCATCATCCCCAAAAACACAAACAACGACACCCAGCAGAATTAGTCATGATGTTGAAAACCATGAATTCAAAAAAAAAACGACACCAAGAATTTTACAAAGGAAATTAACATCGTGTGCAAAACCCAAGCCTTTAATGCTACTCCTTACATTTGCACTATAGCGATACTGTCGATCGTAGCTGTGGCAGAATTTCTGTTATATTTTGGATGTGCTATAAACCCAAGCAATGAAAGGACAAGAATTAAACTACACTGAACTCGCTAATGACACGTTCCCTCGTTTTATAAAATTTAGTTATCTCCATATATTTATTTGAACGTAAGCTGCAGTGACATGTCAAGCTTTACATGAATGTAACACATAACTTTTGAAGTGTGATATCTCTCTATCTCACTTGTAAGTGTTTCGGTGGCCCAGCATTGGGCCATGGCCCACTGGTTGAGAACCAGTTCACCAGCTGTTACACATATCATCATTAGTGGAATCCTATCTAATATTTATTGAACACCATATATTGAAATCCATGCTATATAGCTATGTTGTTTATCGTCTTTAGTTCAGCAATAAAAAAGCAAAACATAAATATAATATGAATAATCTTCACTGAAAAACAAATTCATGACATTTCTACACACATTACCCAAGGGATGTAATAGATTAGTTGCAGAATGCCTAATCGAAAATATTCTGAGCTTTCCTAAAAACTGGTCTCTGTTATGTACCAGTGGATGGCTATGACCAATAACAGCAAATGCCAAGGCTACTAGCCAAAAACATGCAAAAATCGCAAAAAAACAACAAAAACATGCAAAAACCATGCTGTTAACACATGCATATGTTCGGCCTCTTTGATTATTAAAAAAGCAAAAACATGAAGTGTCTGTCATTCTTATATAAGGTAAAATAATGGCTTTTGTCCAAAAGACTTGATGAAGTTTACTGGTCAATATACAAACTGGTTATGACTTCCAACATTATTTACCGATAAGTCCATGATTCTGGTACAAAACCATTTCCAGTCAATCCACAAAACCAGTCAATTTTGTTTCAAACAATATATTGCACAGTGTTTTCATACACTTTTACATGCTTTTTATGCCACTCCAAAAGTATGTGTACAAATATGTAGGTAACTAATTGTTATTACCTACTTTACATCAAGTTGTGTAAAGGGACTGAAGCCTATGGGTAGGCGGATACTCACTTGGTTAACACAGACAGTCCCGAAGTCATATTAGCACTAAAATAAGGAAAATCGGAATAAAATTATGGTCCAACCCTAACCTGGTACACATACTACGGGAGTACCCTTTTTATAGCAAAATATTATCCTTTACAATTTTTAAATAAGATCAAGTGTCATATTATCTTTTCAAGTGTTCAATCCAACCCAATTTATAATTTGTAACAAAATTATATTCAGTAATTAACTGTGAATTTGAATGAATTTTTGGTCGAAATCTCCAGCATACTGCATGGTGTCTAAAAAACGACGTGCCCCGTTTTTTTAACACACATTAACCACTATTATATTGTAAAATAACATTTTGAGATCAACTGGTGATTTTTGTCTGTTTTCTGGCTGAAATTGTTCAATCCAAATGTACCTACCGACATATTTTGTATATTTACAATTTATAACTTACTTTTTTTGTACGTGTGTATGTGTGATTTTGTTTTAGGAAAATTTTCTTATAAAGCAATAAACTCAAAGATATCGCAGGTATTATGGTTTTATATTACTAATAATACTAACTTGGGATAGAATTCCAACAATTATCCCTGGGAGAAGAAAGTTGATTTAATCATATTGCGAACCACAGCCTTTCATCCAGTTACCAATCCATGGCAGGTATGAGATTAGTTAGCCAGTTGTTTGTTTTGATGCTCCAGAAGTATGTGTACCAGTATGGCGGTAATTAATTTCGTTCGCCTACTTTACATTAAGTTTTGTAAAGGAACTAAAGCCTATGAACAGGGGGTATATTCAATTTGCTAGTCCCCAAATTCGTAATAGAACTAAAATAAGAAAAATCGGAATAAAATTATGGCCTAACCTGGTACACATATTACGAAAATATCAAAAAAAGATTTTCAGAATAATCCTGGAATATGGTTGGAATATTCAATCCAAGTTAAGGTATTCAATTTTAGTTTTAGTTTTTTAGCTTTATGTTTCATCAGAAAAATCGGTACTCCGGAAGTACGTGTACCAGGTTAGGATAAGGCCATAATTTTATTCGAATTTTTCTTATTTTAATTCTATTACGAGTTCGAGTACTGTCTGTGTTAGCCAAGTGGAATCCCCCTGTCCATAGGCTGCTGTCCTTTTATACAACAAAATTAGTTACCTCCATATTGGTACACATACTTCTGGAGTGTCGAAAAATCAGTTGAATCACCTGATTTTGGGGGGGTCCTCTTATTAGGCGAGTATGGTGATTTTCATTTTTTGATGTCGCCTTATTATTGATACCGGACAATAAAATACCTTCGGTGATAGCTTCCCCCACGAGAAGCTACAAGAAAAAGTTATTGTGGGCTATTTTAACCAATGCGTAAACGCAGCGACCGCCAATAATAATTACATTGGGATCTTTATTCTTGACAAGAGTGACAAACCCAGATTTGTTACAGAGCATAGCTCCATATGTACAAATCGATCCTAATTTTTTTTTGCTTTCGAAATATTCGTTCCCCTTTTCGAAATGTAACTAGCTTTCGTAGGTTCCAAAGGTGGTTCATTATGAAAATTTGTTTATCATTTTTCACCATTAATGAAATGGGTACTTCTGAAGTGTGTGTACCAATATGGAGGTAACTAATTTTGTTCGTCTACTTGTCCCTACAGAACCCTGAAACACTTTTAAAGACCCCCAGATGAAAACTGCTAGTATGAAACAAGAACAACAAGTTTCTGCATTTCCAGTTATTTTTATTATTGAAAGCTTCTAAAATAGTTTGATTTATATAGATTGCATTATTTGATTAAATAAGATGCTGATAAAACATATCAAAAAAAGACACCGAGATGTATTTATATAACTGGAGTCAGAGTCATATTTTCAAACTTTTTGAAGTCAGAGTCACAATTTTCGAAATCTATCGTGAATAAGGCTTGGGGGGAGGGGGGGGGGGGCAATCACTTTCCTGAGTGGGCCACATACAGAGAAAAGACTTCGTTATTGGGACGGGGGTTAAAAACTCAATATAAAGTTATAAATGAAAAACAGTTTACTCACAAATAACTAGAGTCAATAACATTTGCCTGTCTACTCGTTTCACTGATGTAATGCAATAATTATTTGTAAGTGGGGTAATTTAGATCCAAGAAATTCATAATCGTACTTTCAGCAAGCCCAAAGTGGGCCAGATGAAACAGTTCGGTGGACGGGATCCAGTCTGTGGACCATAATTTGCCCATCCCTGATCTCAGTAATAATTCTTGGCAAAAATTACCATATTCTACTAACCCAGTGGTTCCCAACTCGAGTCCGCGGTCTCAAATGAGTCCGCGGAGCGTTTAAATGAGTCCGCAACGAACCAGAAACAATTCCAGAAAACTATCATCGACGATCTACATTAGAATTTACATAAACATAAAAAGCAAGTTTATTTACATAACAATAATCGGGTCAATAATTACTGGTTACTGAGTGGGGCTGGGCATCTATTCAACTAACAGAATACCAATTTAATATTCGAAAATTTGGTAACAGGTGACGCGACAGGTCACTTGAATTTCACAACTCTCTTGAGGATTTCCGACGAAAACATGAGTCTACACATGCTTTAATAGATACTTAAGTGGTGTTTCTCGCGAATTCGAACAACTAAGAATAATTTTCTTTTTGTTGGTGCCAATGGTGGCAACCCAAATTTTCTAAATTGAAAAACGGCAATATAAAATACTAAAAAATAGAACGGAGAACACCATAAGTTTTGTTTTATGATGGACCGCAACCGATTAAATACGCTTTTTTAGACATTGCAAATCGCAAAATTTCGTGTGCTACCGAAATATATGTATCAAGGCATTTTTCCCTAGGAGTATTGGCTCCGCAAGTTACCATGAACACGATTAAAATAAAATAGAAAGACATTTTCAATTCTCGTCCTTGAATTGAATATTGTGCGACAGAAAAGCCATTATACACTAAAAAAGTCGGCTTTATTGCTCCTTCACACAGAGTACGGTTGTAATAAACGCACCTTAGGTCCGTAAAGGTTTTCGCCGGTGATAAAATAGTCTGCGACCAAAAAAGATTGGGAAACGCTGTACTAACCATACGGTGGACCGAGTAATAAAGCGCACTGCCAATAAATTGCTTAGATAGAGTTTTTATTAATACATAAGGTACTGGTACAAAATAAAGCATTATACAATCTACACATCGAAAGCCAGGGTTGCTAGCTTATAAGGCACATGATCAATTTAAAAAAAAGTACGCCCCTATGGTCCATAAAATACGATATCTAAGCTTCTATAAAGAAAATTATTTTTGATTGAAATATAATGTTCTTGAATTCAAGTGTCAGGTAAAAATTTCCCTCAATCTGGAGAGTGTTTTTAAATATTGTGGAATTTAAAGTTGAGTCATAAGTTTTGACAACTCCATGTCCATGAAGAAAATACCAATGGGAACGCTCAGAACAGTACCAATGGGAACACTCAGAACAGCACCAATAGGAACACTTAGAACGCCCTCGGGCCACTAGGGGGCAATAGATAGATTCTTTGGGGCCCACAGGCAATAGCCTTCTAGGTGTCTATGATCACTACATTAATTCAAAAAAAAATTAAAAAAGATTGTTAAAAAAAATAGCTCTCCGCGGGCCACACAATTTTTTTATTTGGGCCGCATTTGGCCCGCGGGCCTCAGGTTAAGGTTGTCAGCTTATAAAAAACATAATTAATTTAAAAAAGAATAGATTTATATTGTGCCCTTATGGTCATGGTCCATAAACTATGATTTCTAAAAGGACAATAAATCAAAGCTTCCATCATAAAAGTATTTTTGATTGAAATACAATGGTCTTGGATTCGAGGGTCCAGTAAAAATTTCCCTCAATCTGGAGAGTGTTTTTAAATATTGTGGAATTTAAAGTCGGGTGGTAATTTTTGAGAACTCTATGATCAGAATGAAAACACCAATGGGAACGCTTAGAACAGCAAGCTGGGACCTTGGGCGCCCTAAGAGACAACGGATAGATTCTTTGGGGGCCACAGGCAGTAGCCTCCAATAGGTATCTTTCGATCGCTACATTGATTCAAAATGAATTTATGAATAACTGCTAAAAAATTGGCACTCCTCCGCGGGCCGCACATTTTTTCCTTGTGGGTCGATAGTTGAGGTTGCCGGCTGATAAGATTATCATTTAAAAAAAAAAATAGATTAAGAGTGCGCCCCTTTGGTCCATAAAATATGATATCTAAAAAGACACTAAATCAAAAACTTCCATAAACAAAAGTATTTTTGATTAAAATATGATTTTCTTGAAGTTGAGGGTCGGTAAACATTTCCCCCAATCTGGAGAGTGTTTTTAAATATTGTTGAATTTAAAGTCGGGCGTTAATTTTTGACGTTTCCATGACCATGAAGAAAATGCCAATGGGAACACTTGGAACATCAACTATGGGAACACTTAGAACAGCAAGATGGGACCTCTGGCCCCTTAGAGGGTAAATTCTTTGTGCGCCACATGCAGCACTAGGTGGTATTCACAATGACTACATTAATTCAAAATGAATTTACAAATGAAACTGGTAAAAACTGTAAAAAGCAAAAACTAGGTCTTTTGATTGAAGAGCATGGGGCATGCTGTGTTGAGGGGCTCAGAAGGGAGCTATGGATCCTAGAGGTTCAAGAACTACTGATTAGAGTCTCCTTTGACAATTTTTCCACAGGCCATGCAATGTTGAGAGTTTCTTAAAGAGAGCCATGAGTCATGAAAGTTTGAGAACCAATGGGTGATAGTTTCCACTGACAATTTCTTCCAGTGTTGAGCGGGCCATGCATTGTTGAAAGTTTTTGTTAGGGAGGCACGGATCTTTAAAGAAAGAGTGTTAGATTTTCCAATGACAATTTCTTCCAGCATCGGACGGGCCATCATTGTTGAGAGTCTCTTTGAAAGGTCACACGAGTCATGAAAGTTTTGAA